ATAAGGTACATTCCTGTTTTTTTTTTAATATACATGTCCTGATTAAAATAAATTTATAATTAAATTAGTATATTATACATGAATTTTTTTTTTAGTAATTTTTAACTAAAAAATGATGTCTTATTCTTGGCTCGGCTAGTAAGTCACTGTTTAGTGTTCCCCTAGATAGTGGGTAACTAGTAACCATATACTAAGGGCCCTACCGTTACAAAGATTAACACAACAATTGTAACATCAATTAATATTTACTCAATTTAATAGGAATGTAGCTAAATCATATTTTGGCGCTTACATATATTTTTTTATAACTATTACATTAAAATAGTTTACAGCACAAGTTTAATCATTAATAAAACGATATAAAATTATATTATCACTAAATAAAAATAATATAAAGAATAGACAGAGTATTTCTAAAGAACTATATAGTTAGTGTCACTTTCTACAAAAGTATTACTTACAGCAAAATGCTTTTTAATCGACGATGTGGGACTAGATTAAATATTAAAAAGTGATAGAAATAAGAAAATGACAGGTCGAAAATAACTTCAACAAGTACTTTGAAATNAAATAAGAAAATGACAGGTCGAAAATAACTTCAACAAGTACTTTGAAAGTTATCATCTTTCAGTTATAAATGAACACCCATATTTTTTTTTATTAATTGTGCGACTATTTTTTAGCAAAAAGCCCAATTATAAACATGAAAAGAGTCAAAATGTGTAAAAAAGTTATGGGAGAAGAAAAAAGTATCTAGATTCACTTCTAGCAATGGTACTAAAGCTTTCATTATTATATAACTCGGAGCTTATAACAAAAAATTTGTGCATACTTAAAATTAATGTAAATTAAAGATATTTTCAATAAACAAAAATTAGAAAATTCAAAGCTCTATAACTTACGTAATAATAAAAAATTTAATAAAAATATATTGATGCAAAAATTTAATAATCAAAAGAGTATATAGTAAATTTTAATAAAAAATATGTTTTTAAAAAGCATAGTTTAAGTACTCATAAATAGCCATAGAGTTGTAAGATTTTTATGGCTGAACTTAATAATTTAATATAAAACTATAATACAAGGTACTTTTATACGTTTTTTAATGCTCCCTTAAGTAAAAATACTGGATTTTTTTCCTAAATACTTTTAAATGTTATATAAAAGTTTCAATGATATCTGAATTTTAGCAGTATTCGAGTTAAGTAATTTTATATGGAATAGCCCTATATGAGTTTATTATAAACTTCTATTAACTATTAAATTATAACTATAGATCAATAAAAACTCTATTACAAAAATATCATAATTACACTAACTTTTATTCTCATAATATCTTTTTACTTATCTTCAATTTGTCAAATTTTATGGAGTTCAAAAGATCTGTTCAATTTGCTTTAAAGTTATGACAATATATTTTTATTTTAGAGAAGCTGCAAAAACTATATAGTATCTTTGTATTTTATGTAAATTTATATGGAAATAAATCTTCTTTTTTCTCGCCTTAATCCCAACTACTTAAGGTCGGCCAACATATATGAACATGTTATAAAAACAGAAAGCGAGTTTAAAATTCGCGGAGTATCATATAAATATTCTTATTAAACCAATTAATTGTACTCAAATTTACTACAATGATATTAAACTTTCTGAAATGTTTAGAGTTTAAGATAAAGAAAAGTTTTACTTTCATTGAACATTTTTACATGATAACAATCAAATATTGAAAAAAAATACAAAATATTGCTGAAATAATAAGTTGTTTTTCATAAAAATTCTGATACAGTATTCGTTATCAAATGAAAATAATATATCTTTTCTAAAATTATATTAGATTTCGTTTTTCATTACCTATGTATCACCGTAACTGATATTTTATGATAAGTTTTAAAAAAATACTTAATAATTAAAATTTAACATCTTTTGTGATAAAAATTTGCTTTAAGTTTTTTTATTTTTCACTAATGATCAATAAACATTTGGTGTTGACCTTAATAAAAAGTACAGTATTACAGCTTTAGAAATTGGTAAATGACTTATTTCGTGTTATGCTTATTATCTATATAAGGTCACTTTGTAGTATAATGACGAAGATATTGATATTGTTTAACATAAGCCATCTTTTAAAAGAAGTGCGTTATCATAATAATAATCAGTGACTAACTTTAAATCGAAGAAAAAAACGTTTTATTTATTCGATATCTGTTTGTGAAGTAGGCAAACATATTGTTAAAATAATAAGTTTAAAAAAAATAATAGTCATAAAATAGTCACACAAATTTTTCATTATCAAAAAAACTTTTCTGATATAAAAAACACTTGAAACCAAAGATAATATAAACAAATGTTCAACAGATGTCAATTAAAAAATAGATGACAATATTTTTTACTCATTAATTAAAAATTTTAAAACTATTACTTAAAAAAGAAAAAATTCTTCAAATGAATTTAATTGTTACCTAGTATTTAAGTAAAAATATATATTACAAATAGTTACACTATTAAATAATTATAATATCGTATGATAAAAGAAAAAGAAAATAAATCAACTTATACGATTTTACGACTTAAATGGATAAAACGATTAGTTCATGACAGAAAAAACTCCAAATATCCATTTTAGCATTATCATGAACTATTTATATTTATTAATGTTATTATCATTGACCATATATTTTTATTCCCATCCATTTTAAATGTGAATTCAGGGGGCACCACAGACAATGCAAAAGAATACGTCATGTTTTAATGTCGGTATAAATGTGATATAAACGCATTAAAACAGAAGAGAAAATTCATTGCTTCGCAAAAAGACCATTAGCCTTCCAATTCTATAACACTCATAAGCAGTTATTCATTCATCATAAAAATATACCGACATGGTACCATTGTTAAGGAATTGGCTGAGATAATGAAAACTGTCTGTTTTGTGACTTTGACAATGCTGTTTCGGTTTCTAGCTCAAATTTACCCTTTACTTTTACTATGCTATCGAAATGTGAAAATCCAATTACCCTACTACCAAAGAATTTTTCTCAAATATACGATATCTCGGGGGAATTCTACCGATTTTAACACAAGTCGAGTTATAAATAAATAAAAATGCGTGGGGTGAAAGGATAACACGTAATAGAAGTGTGAAAATGCCTTTATACTCCGCGTGACTTACCCGGAAACTTGTCATTCTCTGGCTATTCCACCCGGAAATTAAGTTATTTGACAGCCTTGTATTATTATCATTCTTTTTCGTTTTTTTCAAATTCGTTTACATTTATTTAAATAAAGAAAAAGCGTTGAAATTGGAGACTACGCAGCCATAAAAAATAAATTATTTATTTTGTTATCTACATGTACAGAATGATTAATTAATTATGCAATATCTTACAAGTATGTAATATATTATATTTTTTCTTTTCAGAAGTCAATAGTATTTATGTTCTATAATAAAAAAATAAATTCTTGAAGTTATTTACACTAAACTATAATGATTTTAGGTGAAGGGCTGTTCTATTTATTTTTATCTCTATGCAATATGAACTGCACTACTTTATCGTCTTAGTATAAAAGTACCAATATCTTTTAAAATATTCATTAATGGTAATAATATTTTTAAGCTAGTTAATCATAAATAATCATAATTTTCCACTTTGCTGCTCTGTGGTACATATAACAATATAAAATACTGCTGGTCCATTTGTTAAAGCACGAATATATTTTTTTCCTTTTGTATTTAATCCATTTTTAAAATATACAGTAATTACCAGTTCTGATAATAGATAACCAAGAATATATAACAAAGAATAAAAAGTTGTTTACATTTGTTTCGAGCAACATATTTATTGATCTCGATATGATTTTTAAAATAACAATTGTAAAATATGCGTTTTTCACACATTTACAATATATTGAAAGTAGTAATAAAATTTTTATTTGAACACCGATAATTCAATAGAAATTAATAAAACATTCCTTTCGGAAAAATCATTCGGCTTTCTATACACATTAAAGTACACGATTTATTATGAAGAAAAAACATAATAAATCTTTAGTCGGCATCACTGCACACAAGATAAAAATGTATTACATTTCATTAGAAATATTTTTTCCTTATAGTATTATGATATTGTCATAATATCAATCAATACAAATAGTATTTTCAAAAATATTTCTCGAAAAATTTATTTTTATTTGAGAATAATAATTTCTTTTCAATAGAAATGTTGAATTTTATCTGTTAAATTCAAATTCAGCCTGTTTAGTTATTCTTTATTTTTTTAACTTGAAGACGGAAAAAAAATTAAATTAAATTGTTATTAGTAAAGAAGAAAAGATTAATTACAAATGCTCAATTAAATTATTGAACTTTGAAAGTATCTTCTTCTTCCTCGCCTTAATCCCAACTACTTGGGGTCGTCCATTTGAACTTTGAAAGTATAAAATACTAATAGCTATTATGTTTACTCTGCGAAATGAATGAAATGTTTATCCTTCAAGCAATGAAAGAGGTCGTAGGAGATTAATTACCTAATAAGAAAGTAATAAAATAATAAAAAAATGCCATCTATGGTTTCTAGCCTTTTTAGGTAAAACATCGAAGTTTTTTTAAATTTTAATGATGTAAAACCTGCTACCTGCTTAAAAGTAAAATATAATATTCTAAGAACACCCACCAGTGTATTTTGGTTATATATAAAATATGTTTATTTTATTTGTTAGCTGTAATATACTATATTGAGTTTTTTTATAATGTATTATTCAAAGCTGTGACAATTATTGTTAAATAAATAATATTTTATCATTATGCCTAAATTGAATAATAATTATTCTGAGTAATTCCAAAATAAAATTATTAATGGCATTAAATTAGGTTTGTAAAATTTAAATAGATGCACACCTTGTGTGCACTTACACTATACATACAGCTTTAACTGTAAATTAATAAGACTTATGAGTCGTATTAAATAATAGAATGAAAAAATCCAATTTCATATTAAACATATAAAATTCTTTAATTAATTATATCTGCGTATCCATTTTAATGATTGATTAATTAACTAGAACTTAATTTTTCTTAATTCAGGTTTATTATTGCCATTTAAAACAGTTATTTCATATTCTTCGTCTTCAGCAAAATCATCATCATCAAGGTCTAATTTACTTTCAACCTCTTCAGAATCCTGTAAACTGCATAAAAGACTATCTCCAATGTGCATTATTTTATTTTCTGAGAGCTTATCAACTATGTTTCCACGGACACCACACTTAACATCGGAATCTTGTTTTTTCATCTTAAATTGATTATCCGTATAATTTTTCTTCAATAAATAACAAATGACAATTAAATTAAATTTTAAACGAAGTTTAATTTTATATTAATAAAAACATTTTAACAAATGCCTGGACACAATTTAAATTTTTATCCTTCAAACGAATCCAACATAATTAATAACTATAAAATTTCATAAAATATAAAATTAATTATCAATATAACAATAAATAATCAATTTATAAGATTGTGATATAAATGGCTTATGAATTTTAGAGGTGTTAATTACGTTTAGAAAATAAATTTTAAAATTGATTTATGGTTACACTGGGCTTTGAAAATATTTTATATCATAAAAAAAAAATACAAAAATTAAAATTTACACTAACTTTAAAATGATGTAGAAAATTGACTATTAATTACGAATAAGATGTTGTTTTATAAAATTTTTCCTAAGAATCTGCTTTACAAAATGACTATCATGAAATTTTTTTTTAGATTTTTCGTAAATATTTTTAATGTTTTTTCATTAATTGAAAAACTATTATATTTTATGATATTTTTATAGTTTTTAGATGTAAAAAATATTTTTAAAAATAAACGTATAGTATTAATTTGAAGAATAGTTATTAAATTTATCAAAACATCGTAGACCACGAGATATAATGATGCTATAATGAGAACCAATATACAATTATATAGTAAACATCCAAGGATAGATTTATCACTTAATTACCATATGTTCATCTCCATATTTTAATACATAAGATATTTTTCGAATGGGTAACTCATGCATGTCGTTATTTATAATACAAAATATATATGTGAAATCATATTTTTATGAATTATTTAAAGTAACATAAAAAGACTTTTTCAAATGAAATTTTATTTGAAATTTTAAATTCAAGAGAGTGCTATTTATCATTTTGTTTTTGTCTACAGTAAAATAAATTTCACTGACCATATTTTTTGATGACGAATCTAAGTTTGATGTCAATCTAAATAGGCTATTAGCTTCTTCAAAACTATCATTATCCATAATTTCGTCATTTTTGCAACATTTAGATCCAATTTTACTTTTTTTCGAAGATTTCATTGAACAAATACTAGAACAACTTTTCAAACGATTAGTACTCTTCAATGGAGGCTCAATATTTACAATATTTACGGATGAATTTTTTGATGAATCTAAAAGGAAGTAATAAAATATTATAATTAAGCAAAGAATTTTACTAGTATAATTCAATACTTTGTTATAAAATAAATTTTAATAAAACTGAATGTGTTAAAATCTAAAATCATTAAATATTAAAATACTACAAATAACAAAAGTTTTCAAACTTCACTCAAATACTAACTTTTATTATTAAAGCNTCAAACTTCACTCAAATACTAACTCTTATTATTAAAGCTTGAAACTTAATTAATTAACTAATATAGTATAAGATTATGCTTTTATAATAAAACAAATAAAAATGTCAACAACCTAGAACAATAGATGAACTTGATTTCCCTTGTATCCAAACCATTTTGTATTTAGGTCTTTTAGCGGGAATTTGTACATTTATTACATTTATTTTGGATCTAAATTAAAAATATTGTAAGTATTATACAATTAAAAAATTTTTCTACAGAAATGTTCTTACTAACCTTTGGGACAAGATGTTTTCTTTAATTTTTGTTAATCTACAATTGGTTTCCATATTTATTTTTCAATTAAAAAAATTTTTAAGAGCTGTTTTTATAAATAATTAAATGTAATAAAATTTTTTTTTGACATTTGATATTTAGAATATTTTCACTGTGGAAACTATTATAGTTAAAATTAATTTATTTTAAATGCGTGTATATATTACTGATTCACTGAATTTTTCTGAATATTTAAAAGAAAGTTTATTACTACAATTTTTTGCTCGTTTTATAATTAACTCAATCTATTCTTAATCTACAAAAATTTTTTGATTTTCTAAAGTCAAAAAAAGTTATGTGTAAAACGATAATTCATAGTGTGTAAATATTGGGAATATTTGTACACATAATCCAGCTACTGATTTTTTTAGGCGATTACAAGTGAACTATTATGTTTACGTCCAGTAGCTGAATTGGCCAGAAGCATATAACTATTTTTGATTACCAAAAACAAAAATAAATTTGTACCAGTGTGCTAAATATAATAATCTAGTGAAACTATCGATCCTTTTTTTTAGTGTAAATATTTGTTAGTCATTATAGAAAGTGTTTACACTGTTATGTTTAATTAATCCAAAAATTAATTAATACGAGTATTATACAATTACAGCTGTAGAACAAATTACAAAATATAATTTAAAACATTAAATAAAATATCAAATTTACATTACAATAAATTATTACTTCTGTAACATTGTTTATTTGTATAATTCGCAGTATTTCGTATACGAAATTTTCTCATATATTATAATATATGAGGAAATTGTTTTTTTTTCTAGTTTATCAGAAACTCGATTCATGGTTTCGGGTTTAACTTCTTTTTTAACAAAAATAGGTAGTACTAGAACTTGATACTTAACATCATATTACTAACAAAACTCATGCGTGTGTTCTCTACATACTAGCTGCACTTGGAAATCGTATACAATGGAGGATTGTGACATGAAACACGCTATTTAACTATGATAATAATGAGTATCATAATATCTTTTATATTTGCACGAAACTAATCAGTATATACACGCGAGTATGAGTACACATAATATTATACAGTATTATCATTTCACAGATGAATATAAGTAATGAATATATAGGCACGTAGTTTGACTGATAGGCAATACAGTGTTAAAAATATGTTATTTAAAAAAAAAATTTAAATCGCAGTATGTACAAAAATTGTTTTTATGCAGTAAAACTAATAATAAACACACATAATATACCATTATGTAAAGTATATTCATTTAATTATATTCCAGTGGCTCTTTTCTCCTCAAAGGAGTGTGTTCATTTTGAATGAACAATTAATTAATTAATCACTTTTCTATTTTACAGATTGTTTTAAATTGTGTTAAATTAATTTATTGAATTTTTGAACTCAAAACAAAATAATTTTGCTTTAACGATTTAACAATTGTTAACATAACTACTACGACTAAAATTGTGTTAATAGTTAATATTTAATATTTGTTTATGATTTTATTAAATATTACAGTCAAAAACAATTTGAATACATATTTGTAACGTAAAAAATAAATTTTTGACTTATAAAATCTATTCACAATTACAAGATAAATTTTTAAATAACTACAATAATTAATATATTAAATTATATTCGACTTTATAGCGTAAAATGTAATCTTAGACACTAGATAACTTCTTCAGTATTAAGGACTGTAATATTTTAACCAATTTGAACTCGTAACATATTAACAGCATTGAATTTTAGATAAAAATATCAAGTCATTTTAGTTAAAGAAACTATTACATTTTATTAAAAATTATTTGAATACGTGTTATTATTGAAGCATAATCAATTTGTGCTTATAGCAATAGATAATTAAAATAGAACAAAGTTTCATAAAATTTAAAAAAATTGTTTTATCACAGATTTTCAAATTATTTTAATCAATGTTCGCCACGTCAATAAGTCTTGAAAAATAAAACCTTTAATTAATAAATGTAATTACAAAAAAATTCAAATTCTTTATTTATGATCAATTTGTATTAAAGTCTAATAATCGATACTGTATTTTAAATATGAATCCTTGTTGCAATACATGAACCGAACGTAGATGAACCGTTAGGAAAAAATACACAACGCGTTATGGCAATACAAATATACTTTATTATGACAAGTTATCATGGATGTTACAATAATGAGAATCTAACGATAATCTGGACAACGTTAAGAGACTTTAACAGCCATTTATAGTCAGGAAGTGTGTTTTATCAGCTATTAGGAGGAAAGCACACGACCATCCAGGACGAAAATATATGTAGCCTATGGTAGTCGGTGTTAGCCGATGGCTAGCCGTGCCAAAAATAGCCACGGAACCCACAGATTCCCTGGTTATTTTTGGCATAGTATTATGGCCGCGACATCTTTTATTAAAAAATCTTTATTTATATGTTATTTAAATATTTGAAGTAAATTTATATTATATGTATATAAAAAGAAATAAATAAACACCAATATTTTATATGTGTTAGAATATTTATATCACCAAAAGTATTCGACCGAAAATAAGATGTATAATATTTTCAGTAATTACGAAAGAGGATAAAGATAGTGCAGATTTTATATAGAATTGTAACTAAAAATGAAACATACACTCACGCACATTCACTTTGTGTATCTTGGTTGAGAGTTCCAGAGAGCCGTAGATATGCAGAAATAGAATAGCAAGGCTACCCAGTGTCAGCTAGAGGAATGTTCAAAAACCATGCATAACTACCATAAAAGAACCCCCGAATTTGGGGGAAAATGGTCTTTTTATAGCCCACAAAACTGGTTTAGCGATCTCTGGCGAGATTCTTGAAATATTTTTTTGCTGTATTTGATTGGTTAATGTGATAGAATCTTTTATGTGGGCGTTTTATGGAATGCGTAAGAAGGTGGTTAAATCTTGTGTAAGGGTATTATTTTATTATTCATCTTATCCACGGGGAAACACTGATTTGGTCATATATTTTATTAAATATAACTATTAATTATTACATGTATTATAGTATGATACTACAGATAGCATATTATTAAAAATTACATTAGTGTAATTAAAAATTAATGAATGCTATGTTTATCGTAAAGTTCAAAATCAAGTATTGATATGTGAAATTTGACTCTTGGAGGCTACTAAAATGATTGCTTTTGAGTATAAGGCTGGAATTACGTAAATTACTATTTTTGAACTTTTCATTTTTAAATAAATGTAAAATTTATAAAAAAAACTGTGTGCAAATTTTTGAATGGGGGAGTATAAAAAAACTTATTAATACTGTTGTATGTTCATCTACAGGGAAAGGCATTTGTCTTCAACTCTATTGTCTAAGATTCATTTATCATTTTCGCATTAACTTTTTAAAAATTTTTTTCTACATTAATTCTATGAAATTTTTTTGTTGAAACACTGTTTTAAGAAAAAAAAAATGACGAAACCAAATTAGTTTTTATTTAACGTGACTTTAACCGTTTCTGCCCAGATAATAAGGTTGGTGGATTATTTTAAGCAATTACAAGTACAAATAAACCAAGAGCGGCACAGAATCTACAATAAATTAAAAATGAAATTTAAATAAACTTAAAGCAATACTAATAATGAAATACAATAAATTATTGGATATAAAGATTACAATTTTTTATAATTGTAGAATATTTTAAATAATTGTTAAAAAAAAATAGGGCATGGCAAAATTTAAATAAAATAATAACTTTTCTTCTGTAATACATTTATTCTTCGTAATACCATTTATATATCAAACTCGGATGAAATTTTATTGAGATTTTATATAGTATATTACCACGGGCAAAAAAATTGTAACGTTCACCAAATTCTGTATTGTTCAATTGTGCCTTGTAGAATAATACTTTTATCAGTACAACATTTAATCTGTATTGTGTATCTAAAAAATACAATAATATGATAAATTATATAAGTTATTACAATAATTGTTAAATAATTACATTCATCATAAATTTCTTTCTTTAAATTAACTACAGCACTTTTGAGATTTTCATTGTCATTTTTGTTCCTTGTTACTACCTAAAATATGCAAAATAGTTTATTGTAATACATTTATTAAATACCTTTATTTTTCAGGTTTCAGATTTTATTGGACACCAGAAAATTTTTTTTACTAGTTTTAAAACAAATAACCTGCAAAGTTTGAACTTTATTTATCTTCACTAACATGTGGCGCTTTAATTTCAAAGTTTTGCATAAAATTAATTTTATGTTGTCGTCTTGTATTCGTAAAAAATTTTAATTAAAAAAAATTTGTATAGAATTATTTTTATAGTATTTTTAGTTTACTAAAAGTAGGTCTCTTTATAATTTCGACAGTTATTAAAATTTTATAGTCATAACACGGATGTTGTTAGTTTTATCACTAGTCACTGCCATGTAACTTCAAACTAACTAGTAAACTTCTATCTATAATTGGTTAATTACGAGTATTAATTTATAAAAGGCTAATGTCCAATAGTAGTTATAATGACTACATTTTGTATTGATGTGTGCATAATTTTTCAAGAAAAAAATGAGAATCCCAAAAAAGAAAATGCATATATGATAAGAAATGTTAAAGAAAATGTATGAAAATTAGCGAAATTTTTTGAAAAATTAAAAAAAATTTAGAAAAAAGAATTTGAAGTTATGGCAAAAGTCTATGATCTGATTTGAGTATCATAAACATTGAAGAAAATTGTGTTTTTTATTGACTGAAATTAGTTCTGTTTATACTTTAATATTTTTAAAAGATATTAATATTTTATAGTGATTGATTCAAGTGAGACACGGGCGTTGTTGGTTTTATCACTAGTCACTTCCATGTAACTTCAAACTAACAGGTAAATTTCTATTGATAATTGATTAATTACGATTTTTATTTTATAAAGATGCTTCGTATATCATAAAAATTAAAGATATCAGTTTATTTTATACTAAAACAAAAGGAAAAAAGTATATGTGAGCTTTATGATAATGGATGAAACGCTTACACTCAAGAAGAAAGAAGAAAAATTAGATTAGTAAATGAAGAGAAAACACTTCACCATTTTTTAAGTACTCCATAAATATCAACATATAAACTATTAAGCTATAATTTAAAATGGGAGTTATTTTCATTAATTAATTATGTAAAAATGTAAAATTTCGTACTAGTTTTGGATATAAATATTATATTAAATTTTATAATTTAAAGTCGTCAAGCACGATTGTTCACTATTTAAAATTATGTGATATTTGATATTTTTAAAGAAATTTTATCTTTTGTACTCGAAATCTATTTATAATATAATATTTCCTTATTTTGTTCTATACTTTCAGTTGGTAATAATAATTTATATTCTAAAATATTACAACTTATTTTTTATTATTAATTTTTTTGATTCAATTATATTTTGTGATCATATGTTTTACCGTAGGTAGCATACGAGTTTGGTAAACCAATAAACGGAGAACTAGTATGGTCACATTGGCAGACAGCCGAATTTTGCAAGTTCATGAGTACGCTGAGTTCACAGCACGAATATCTGACATTAATGTACAATTCAGAGTACTTGACCATCTTATCGGTGACGTTGTACTAGGACATGACTTCTTAGTGAAACAAGTATTGGCGTGGGACTACCAAGCTTGTACAATCCACATGGGTACAAGAAGAAGAGCTACGGTATGCTGGAGAAAACCGACATTCAAACGGAAACTGAACTGAAGATGTTTATCCCGCAAGGGGAGTTTCCGGAAGATGTCCGGTCATGCTACTTAAGTACCCAAAGGTTTTCTCCGGAAAAGTCGTGAGGACCCGAATCATGGAACATGATATCCGGTTAAAAGAGATAATTTCGGCAACTTTGAATGCATATCTTTACGGTACGAGAAATGGAGGAGCAAGGCTTTGTAGAACCTAATACCTCGCCATGGACAGCTCCCTTAGTTCTCGCCAAGAAAAAAGATGGATCCCAACGGATATGCGTAGATTACCAGACATTGAATCTCCAAACAAAAGCCGACGTACATCCAATTCCCGACTTTCACGAAATGGTCCGTGGAATAGGTGGTGCTAACGTTTTCAACACTATCGACCTAAAGTTTGGCTATTGGCAGATCAGTTTGACCCGGGAGTCAAGACCACTCATCATGTTCTGTACACAAATGGGCCTCTACCAATTTAAAGTCATGCCCTTCACCCTTAAAAACGCCCCGGCTACTTTTAAACGGTTGGTGAACGAGTTTATGCGTGTTTGTGCACTTAAACGATATCGTGGTGTACTCAGTAAGTATGGAAGAACATCTTAACTACATACAACGAGTCTTGGAACAGTTACAAACACATGGGTTTACATGTCAACCGAAAAAATGCAGTTTCGAAGAAAACCCGTATAAATTTCCACAGATACATGTGGATTCGACGGAAAATGACCAGGAACCGGAGAATTAACTCCAATCGCCGAATTTTTCGTACCGAAGAAAGTCAAAAGTCTACAGAAGTATTTCGGAGTATACGGTTAGAACAGTCAGTTCGTGCTCAATTAAATTTACTTAAATCAAGTTAGGCGTTAAAGCTGCGAGCGTTCGCCATTGATATTCAGCACGTGCCTGGAATTGAAAATTAAGCAGCGGACGCCCTATCAAGAAGCCCTGTGGAGAAAACTCCGGTAGATGAAGATCATTTAGAAGAAAACTACCATGATCCACTGNCGTTCGCCATTGATATTCAGCACGTGCCTGGAATTGAAAATTAAGCAGCGGACGCCCTATCAAGAAGCCCTGTGGAGAAAACTACCATGATCCACTATTGATTGGAGATTTACCCGTACGAAATCAACTAGGGGCTATAAAAAAAGAATGCCTATCCAGGGAATACAGCTATTTTCGATATAAGAACCTGGCAAGCCAAAGATGCAACTTTGGCCCAGTATGTCCGGAAGCTCCGGAGTGATAAACCAATTTACAGGAGCTAACACCAAGAATACCTTTTGCAAGATGGTATTTTGTTAAAAGTCCCGGTAAATAACGGAACAGACGGGAAGATTGTTCCTTTGGATATGTCAGATCACCTGCTATAGAAGTATCATGACCGTGTTTCTGCAGGACATCCAGGATGGAAAGAAACTTACCATAGCATTGGTAATCGTTTCTTCTGGGACAAAATGAAAGAGTCGATACATCAATATATCGCAAGATTTCATGTGTGTGCTTGTGTTTAACCGCTGAACCAAAAGCAAGACGACCCAATGCGACCAAGACAGCCCCGCCAGCAATGGGAGTTTGTAAGTATTGATCTAATGGGGTCATACCCAATATCTCAACGCGGTAGGAATTGACTACATGTAATATCATATCAAAATATATAACATAAGCTTTAAATTTATATAAATATATATGTATATAAAAGTGTCAGATTTCCGGAACACTTCGAAAAATTAAGTTGAAAAAGTTCTACTTTCAATATGTATTTTTAAGTTTTGAACCCCCCCTGTATTAATGGAAATGGTCCGATTTAAAAAAAAATATGTCTAATGATAGAAGTATTTAAAAATTATTTCTCATAAAAAAATTTTACTGAAACAATACATTTTTCAAAAAGTTATAGAAATATAAATTTAAAAATATAAAATCGAGAACTTTAACACAAAAAAAGCGTACGATAGTCATTCTCACCATGAAGACAAAGTAAAGTCCGACATTTTTAGCTTCGATGCGAAGCGGAGAAGGTATTAATTTTACAATAATGTGTTTTTTTTTTTTTTTATGTCTGTTGCCACTTTTTCTCAGCTCTCACTGGACCGATTTCTTTCAAAAATACGTCAAAAGATCACAAATCGTATCTAGTTGAAGACATTACCCTTAAAAATTGAAAAAATTCCCTCGTTCCCCGCAAATGGGGGAAATATCCAAAAAAATTACAAATTTAAAAATCGCTAATTTTCGAAATTTGTTCACTTTTTTTTCTTAAAACTTCCATAACTTTTTGACAAATCAACAAAAAATTTTTTTATACTAAAATCTTAAATATTTACCTTTCATTTGATATCATTTTTTTGAAAATCTATCACGTAAACTGCTCATTAGGGGGGATTTAAAATAGCAACTTTTTTATCAAAATTAACTTTTTCAACTTAATTTTTGAAAATGTTCCGAAAATACTGCGTCCTTCAAACATATATCAAATTAAAGCTTATTTTATGTACTATTAAATGAAAAAAAAAATTGTCCCGGCGACCTATATTGTATGCGAAAATGGCTACCGTATTCAAAAATATGCTATTTTAACAAATTTTTTTTTTTTTTAATTAAACACTATCTACAGATTTGCATCGAAGCGTTTTTTATGATAGTGATTTTAATCACTGTCAGATATCATCTATACTGGACCCAACTATGCCACGACCCCACCGTGCCGCCACCCCTCTGCGCTTATATTTTTTTTCATAATAAAACATATTACATTAGCTTTAATTTAAGGTATATTTAAAAGGGTCAGTATTTCCTTTATTGACACTTTCAAAAATTAAGTTGAAAAAGTTGTTGTCTTGAATCCTCCCTTGTAAAGGTAAAGAGACAGATTTATAAAAAATATATACCAAATAATATGTAAATGCCTCATTAATATATAATAAAAAATATATTGATTTGGTCATTTTTAAAAAATTTATGGCAGTTTTAAGTAAAAAAAATTGAAAAAATTTCGAAAATTAGCAATTTTGAAATTTGTGATTTTTTGGAGATATCCGCCATTTACGGGGATTAAGGGAAATTTTTTCAATTTAGAGGGTAATATCTTCGATTAGATACGATTTGTGATCTTTGATGTATCGTTGAAAGAAATCAATCCTGTGAGAGCTGAGAAAAAGTAGTAACAGATTAAAAATAGTAATAAAAAAAACATCGTAGTAAAATTAATACCATCTCAGCTTCGCATCAAAGTAAAAAAATTAAATTTTATTCTATACTTTTTTATGAAAAAATCATTATTTAACGAAAAATGAGGGATAGCATATTTAATAAATTGCACTATATAAAATGTATTTTATGATCTCTTAAGTTGTATTTTGTCATAAGTAAAGTTGGCTAAGTTCTAATTCAGAAAAGTTAACATAACTATAATTTTCTTATTGTGAGATTTATTAAAAATTGAGAATAAAAATATATGTAAAATTATTGTGAGGTACACCGAATATTTTTGGTTATAATTCGTGTGCATATATTTTTATGATTTTATTAGTTATTTTTTCAAAATCACTGTGAGCTCTATTATTTTTGGGTAGAGAGAAAAAATCTTGGACAATGTATCTTGTATGTAAATAATTATGAATATTTTTAAATAAATTTATAGTTATGTTTACATTAGAAACATAATAGTCAATCAATGTAATGCATTGTTCCTTATCTAACAAACCATCGTTGTTTGTATCTAGATTACTGAATTTATTTGAGATTATTTGAACCTCATTTATATCAAGTTTTTCAACCTAAAGAATAAAAAATAATTTAATAAATAAGTCATATATAAAGGCTAATAAACTAATTATTATATCATTTTACTTTTCTGTCATCGCCTCTTTTTTTAACTTTAGCCAAAAAATTCAAAATCTTGAAAATTTTTACACTATTTTCATCTATAAAATATGAATATCTTAAATAGAGTGTATATAAAATTTCATGTTTTTTTAATAATTTTTCTCAAAACATAATGAAAATATAAAAATGTGTTTCAAGAAAAAGTTTTTATCATATCTTATTACATTCAAATTTATTAACACGTAATTTTTAAAATCAGTTGTAGGGTGTTTAAAGAGATTAGGTTTGCAAAAATTTAATGGAAATACGTTAATAAAATTATTTTTCAACTCTTTCTATTTCAAAGAAAATTAAATTTTTAGTATTATTTAGAATATAAGAAAAATTCAGTTACACAGTATAACATTTGTAAACTTTTGTTGTTGGAATTGCATAATGCTGTAATTTTTAATAAAAATTAGGATACAAAAACTTAGTGTAATAGTATAAATACTAATGGTAGTTCTAAGTTAAATGTTCTGAGAGAGCACCAAATATTACAGGAGCATAATTAAAAACATAAGTAAATTGACATTATTTACTTCTTATTTATGTTGAAAGGCTACACATATCATAAAAAAAAAAACATTTGCGTATTACGAGTATGCACGTATAAACTGAAACTTCATAAATTAATGTAAAATATACTTTACAGCCAACCGTGGCCGATCATGACGCTCGATTATCGTATTTTTCGGACTATCTATAAAAAATATTCACTTCAAAATTCGAATTATTTGGCCACAAAATATAAATTTTGTAACTTTTATGGTGCTGTAAAATAAGAAAAACAAGGGTCACTAAACTACTGGACGAGATAATGTATTATAGGACCACAACAGGATTAAAAAAAAGAATTGAAAATTAAACATCATCAATTTAATATTTTTTAAAAAACAATAAGAATAAAAAACGGTAGCACAGTAGGGTTGAAGCACGGTGTGGACAGGGAAAGTATAGATGATATCTAACAGTGATTAACATTACTATCATAAGAAACGATTCGATGCAAATCTGTAGATAATGTTTAATTCTAAGAAATTTGTGTATAATTACAAAAGTAACAATAACTTTGTTTTTATAAAACTGTTTGTTACTTATGAATAAATACACTGGACTACATGGAACTTTGGCCAGAAGAAAAAATATACTATTCTTTTTCAACTTTATGCGTTGTTTTCAAAAGTTAACTTGATAAAGTACTACTATCTATACGCATATTTAAAGGTTTTAACTACATTTTGTAGATTGGGAAATCGTTAAATTTAAATAAAAAATAGGTAAAATGAGAGAAGTATATAAATAGTATTTCTCATGAAAAAAATGTATTGATCTATATTTGTTTTAAAAAGTTATTTCTACATAAAGTTAAAAAAAAACCCAACACAGGGGGGTCGCGGCATAATGGTGACGTGGCATAGTTGAATCAAGTATAATGATATCTGACAGTGAATAAAATCACAATAAAAAAAAACGCTTCGATGCAAATCTTTAAATAGTGTTTAATTTTAAAAATTTGTGGATTATACCAAAAGTTACATGATCTGCTATTTTCTTATTAATATCCTGAAAAAAAAGGGATTATTAAAAAATATTATATCTCAAAAAAAAAAATTGTGTTGATCCATACACTTTTCAATAAGTTATAGCATTATAAAGTTAAAAATGTAAAATATAATATCGAGAATTTTCACATGAAAATAGCATTCGGTAGTCATTTACACCACGAAAACAAAATAAAGTCCTAAATTTTTTTTTCCATAATAAAGTATATTACATTAACTTTAATTTAAGATGTATATAAAAGTGTCAGATCTTCCGGAACATTTTCAAAAGTCAAGTTGAAAAAGTAAATTTTTTGTAAAAAAGTTGTCATTTTAAATCTCCCCCTTTGGGTAGGTAAAGTGTCAGATTTATAAAAAAAATATAACCAAATGATAAGTAAAAACATTATATATCTATGAAAAAAAATTGATATTCATTTGTTCATTTTTGAAAAAGTTATAGCAGTTTTAAGTAAAAGAAATTTAAAAAAATTTGAAAATTAGCGATTTTAAATTTGTAATTTTTTTGGAAGTTTCCGCCATTTACGGGGAACGAGGAAAAGTTTTTCAATTTTTAAGCGTAATGTTTTCAACTAGATACAATTTGTGATCTTTTGACGTATCATCGAAAGAAATCGGTTTGGTGAGAGCTGAGAAATAGTGGTAATAGACACAAAAAAAAAAAAACACATCATAATAAAACCTTCTTACATTCGCATCGAAGCTAAAATAAAAATTATAAAATGAAGAATTTTTTTCACAAAAATATCATATTTTTTTAATACGGCCGTCCTATTAATCATAAAGACAAATCCAGGGTCAAATTATTTTTTTTCAAATTAAAGTATATTACATAAGTTTTATTTTAAGATATTTATAAAAGTATCAGTATTTCCGGAACACTTTCAAAATTTTATTTGAAAAAGTTAATTTTTATTGGAAAAGTTTTCATTTTGAAACCCTCCTGTGGGCATGTAAAAGATCAAATGTTCACAAAAAATTATCAATTGATATGTAAATACCCAAAAGCGTGGTTTGTTCATTTTTAAAAAAGTTATGNTTGAAGTCTTAAATAATACATTATGACATTAATGATCTATTGTGTATACAAATAATTTATTATAATATTAATGATGTACTATGTATATCATTACAATTTACGGGAAGCGAGAGAATTATTTTCAATTTTTTATGGTAATGTCTTCAACTAAATACTATTTGTAAGCTTTTAACGTATTGTTCATTAAAATCGGTCCAGTGAGAGCTGATTTATAGTGGTAACAGACAAAAAAAAAAACATCAGAGTAAAATTAATACCTTCTCAGCTTTACATCTAAGCTAAAAAATTATTTAAAAATACGAAAAAAATTTTCTTATTAGTAATCTCTTAATAGTATTAGTTTACATAGTTACACCACCATAAAATTTTGACTTGATGTTAGTACAAACATGAAATATATTAATATTTTACTAATGAGTTTTAACAGCAAATAAGTATATGTCACTAATCGTGCACTGCAGTATAACATTACTACACCCGTTTGGTACATGCCATCGTACGCATATTTGCGCTGAACAGGTAAGTTTAAATCCATGTCTGTAGTTTAAAAACCACTGACTGAAAAGTACTAACATCTTATCTACACTATAGAAATATCATTAATCTGTCATATGTTTACAGTTAAAATATAATAATACAAAATTACCAAACTAGAAAAACCTTAGTAACTCGTATCGTACACATAAAAACAACATTTTATGGTTAAATAACTTCACTGCTATAGTCGTTTTTCCGCCGTCTGTTTTTATCCACCATTACGTGCCATTAATTATTGTCTACTCTCGTTACTTATTAGATGTGCGGTTAGCTGTCATCCTCCCAAGTGAGCCCTCTCCAGCTTCAATAATAGTGATTTAAACAGACTTATTGTAAACGGTCTTCTAGTGCGATGCAAAACTAAACATTCTACGGTCTAGCTGACTCATACGAAACAAAAGTTAACTTTGTATGAAGTGAAAATGATTTATAGAATAGAAAACGTTTGATTATAAAGATCACAAATTGTATCTAGTTGAAAACATTACGCTCAAAAATTGAAAAACTTTCCCTCGTTCCCCGTAAATGGGGGAAACCTCCAAAAAAATTACAAATTTAAAATCGCTAATTTTCAAATTTTTTTAAATTTCTTTTACTTAAAACTGCTATAACTTTTTCAAAAATGAACAAATGAATATCAATTTTTTTTTCATAGATATATAATGTTTTTACTTATCATTTGGTTATATTTTTTTTATAAATGTGACACTTACTTGCCCACAGGGGCGGATTTAAATAATAATAAATAAATGAAAAAGGGATTATTAAAAAATATTATTTCTCATAAAAAAATAACGTTGATCCATACACTTTTCAATATGTCATAGCATTATAAAGTTAAAAATGTGAAAAATAAAATAGAGAATTTTCACACAATAATAGCATTCGGTAGACATTTTCACCGTGAAGATAAAATAAAGGCCGAAATTTTTTTTTACCATAATAAAGAATATTACAGTAGCTTTAATTTATGATATATGTAAAAGCGTCAGACTTTTCGGAACACTTTCAAAAGTGAATTTGAAAAAGTAAATTTTTTATGAAAAAGTTGTCATTTTAAATCCCCTCTTTGGGCAGGTAAAGGGTCAGATATGAAAAAAATATATACCAAATAATAGGAAAAGACATCTGCATCTACAAAAAAAAGAATTATATTGATCCATACATCTTTCAAAAAGTTATAGCATTATAAAGTTAAATATATAAAAAAGAATTTTTTTACAAAAATCGTATTTTTTTTATCCACTTTGATGTCTGTTTTCACCATGAAGATAAAATAAAGTCCGAAATTTTTTTTTACCATAATAAAGTATATTACATTAACTTTAATTTAAGATATATATAAAAGTGTCAGACTTTCCGGAACACTTTCAAAAGTTAAGTTGAAAAAGTTCTACTTTCTACATGCATTTTTTAGATTTGAACCCCCCTCAAATATAGGGAAAAGGTCTGATTTAAAAAAACAGTATTTCAAATGAAATATGTATATAAATACTACTTCTCATGAAATAATTGTATAGATCCATTCATTTTTCAAAAAGTTATATTATAATAAAATTAAAAATGTAAAATACAAAATCGAAAATTGTCATACAAAAATATCATTCGGTAGCCATTTTTACCATGAAGATAAAATAAAGTCCGATATTTGTTTTTTTCATAATAAAGTATATTACATTATCTTTAATTTAAGATATATATAAAAGTGTCAGACCTTCCGGAACATTTTCAAAAATCAAGTTCAAAAAATTAATTTTTTGTGAAAAATTTGTCATTTTAAATCCCCCCTTGTGGGCAGGTTAAGGGTTAAATTTATGAAAAAAATATACCAAACAAAAGGTAATGATATTACACATCTATTTAAAAAAAAATTATATTGATATGTTCATTTTTGAAAAAGTTATGGCACTTTTAAGTAAAAAAATTGAAAAAATTTCGAAAATTAGCGATTTTTAAATTTGTAATTTTTTTGAAGGTTTCCCCCATTTACGGGGAACGAGGGCATTTTTTTCAATTTTTGAGGGTAATGTCTTCGACTAGATACAATTTGTGATCTTTTGACGTATCATTGAAAGAAATTGGTTCGGTGAGAGCTGAGAAAAAGTGGTAACAGTCACAAAAAAAAAAATAATAAAAAAAAAAAAATAAACACATCTTAGTAAAACCAATACCTTCTCAGCTTCACATCGAAGCTAAAATGGTAACAGATATAAAAAAAAAAACACATCTTAGTAAAACCAATACCTTCTCAGCTTCGCGTCGAAGCTAAAATATGTTTTTTGTAATAAATTCTTCTTTATATTTTTCACTTTATAATATTATAGTTTTTTAAAAAATGTATGGAACAATATAATTTGTTTTGTATAGATGCATAATGTCTTAGCCTTTCATTGGATATATTTTTTTTATAAATCTGACCCTTTACCTGGCCACAAGGGGGGCATTTAAAATGACAACTTTTTCGCAAAAAGTTAACTTTTTCAAATTAACTTTTGAAAGTGTTCCGAAAAGTCTGACGCTTTTACATATATCTTAAATTAAAGCTAATGTAATATACTATATTATGAAAAAAAATATTTCGGACTTTTGTGTGAAAATACTAGATTCTATTTTTTACTGTGCTGGTTTTTTTTTTTTATTTCAAATTGGCATAACTTTTTTAAAAATGACCAATCAATACACATTTTTTTTATAGATACATGAATCTATATCAATTAAAATATCATTTTGTAAATTGTTTTTATAAATTTGACCCTTTTCCTTTACAAGGGGGATTCAAAATTACACATTTATATATACACTTTAATTAAGGCTAATGTAATATGCAGAAAAAAAATTTCGGACTTTATGTCGTCTTCACGGTGAAAATGACTACCGTATGCTATTTTTGTGCTCAATTTCTCAATTTCATTTTTTACATTTTTAACTTTATATTTCTAGAACTTTTTGAAAAATGTATTGTTTCAGTAAAATTTTGTTATGAGAAATTCTATTTATATACTTCTTTTATTAGACATATATTTTTTTTAAATCTGATAATTTTTCTTTTTACACTTTTTGAACTTATTTTTAATTAAATTATATGTATTGATTAATCCAGACTTAAAATAATAATCAAACATAAATATTTGTTATATTAATTAGAAGGATTTTGTTATTATTTAGGCTATATGCAAAACTCTAATTGCAGATTTTAAATTGGCGCAAAAATTGGTTTAGAAAAGTATATTTTAGTCTCGCATGAAAATTGCTTGTAGACCAGTAAATTGATTTATAAATAACATAGAACTTTTTTTTTTAAATATTGCAACAAGAAATTTAACTTTTATATACTTTTTCTATAAAAGTATTAACTACTTTATATTTTTTTATAATTTCTCGTAATAATTATATTAATAAATTATTGAATATCAATTTTATACTATACTTAATTGCTATAATAAATATTTTTACATATATTACACTTATAAATCATAAAACATGTAATAAGGATATAAATAAGGAAATAGGAGATCTTGTTGCTTTTGTAGTAATCCACCAATTTCTTAAAATTAAACATTATCTACAGTTTTACATCGAAGCGTTTTTATAGATAGTGATTTTAATCACTGCCAGATTAAATCTATACTAGACCTAACAATGCCACGTCACCACTGCGCCGCGACCCCACTCTGCTGGGTTGAGTTTTTTTTTATATTCTAAATAAATTTAAAAGTAAACAAAGTATATTAATTGGCAGATATATTGAAAAAATCGTGTCAGTAAATCTAAAGCTAAAAATTATATTAATTATAAATTACCATCAACGTTATAATCATTGTAAGTCTCTTCGATATCATGACAATATAATGCATTTTTTATTGTATCAATATTATTACCAAATTTAGAATCCAATATCAATTTTTCAAAGAGGTCTATTTGACGTGCGTTAAGTCCATCGCTCTTTAAATATAAAATTATCATATTTAATAAATAAATAAATAAAAGTTGGAATACACTTACTATTATTCCCGTAAAAAAACAAAATGAACAAAAGATTAGTATAGTTTTCAAATGCATTACTATTTTTTTACTACTTTTTTTACTTAAGAAAATAACAATTTAGAAAAATAATTATTCAAATATTTAAATTCTAGCTGTGTCATTTTACATATAATGTTTTACAATTTATACTGAAATAGTGCAAATATTAATTATTTAAAATAAAATAATGTTATTTTTGGAAAAAAAATTAGACTTTAATGTATTGACACATTTACATTTAGACTTTAAAACAATTTTTTTTTATGATGTCATCAAGTGTTTAAATTTACTGTTCAAAGTGTAAAACTTCATTAAAACACAAATCAAATTTTATATGATTAAAGATTAAAATTTTTACTTTTTCTTGACCAATTAACGATTAATTATAACTATACATTTCTTTACTATAGTAAAGAAAATACAAATTTTAAAAAGAGAATTTCTTAGATATACATAATTTTGCTACTGTATGACTCACGTTATCTTTTTAAAGTAATATAGATGTTGTTAAGTATCTCTTAATGTTATTCTGTATATTAAGTGGTGTCGACTTGTACCACGCAGCGGATTTTGGAGTCGTCACCCTGATGGCTATTGTAGCACTACTACATTGTTTTTGAAAGTCTTCTAAAAAAGTATTGTTTGTATCCAAAATACCAAGAGACTTTTCGTTAGAAGATAATTTCATCTCCAAAATACCAATCTGTTTAACAAGACAATCATCAGATTCTGCATTACCTTTTTCCCTCTCGAACAATTTAGACTAAAGGAAATCTTTTTGGTTATCCAAGCTCTTTTGGATTTCATTAAAAAACCTTCGATTATCATCATTAGTCAACCAAACCATAAACGTCAACCAAAATACTTATTCCAGTCGCTCCATCTCGCCGGATGTGACCTAACTATTTCTGTTAAGTAGATCTATTCACAGTTAATAATATATGATGATTTAAACTTTATATTCCCTAAAATATTAGCTATGTTTCTATATTTCTGCATTTTGAGCATTGATTCTGTAGCTTAGATGTCATTTTGAAAGGCTATTTACATAGACAAGCCAGTTTTCGAACTAGTAGTCTGCATATACAGATATATAGTCTGGTATCGTAGATTGATACTAAATATATATACGAACACGTTAAAACGATACGAAACTGTACTATGGAAATATCTATTTTGTGTGTATCTATCAGTCGTAAGGCTAGATTCTATCTTTTTGGTAACGTATAAACTGTTAGAATAAAGGATATCAAGAGGTATATAGTAGTAATTTTTAACATTATTTGTTATTATACTTAAAATTACCAAGTTCGCTTTCCTTAATCACAGTTAATAATATATGATGGTACACACTTTTTATTCCCTAAAATATTAGCTATCTTTTTATATTTCTGTATTTTGATCATTGATTCTGTGTTGTTGTCACGTTACCATTGTTGTAAGAATTTATTATAATAAAATGCAGGCAGCACATCCGCTTTTAGAGACTGATGAATTAACAATTATTATATATTGCGAAAATGGCAATCGTCAGAATTATTGTAAAAATCCGAAAATACTGGCCATCGTGGTCAGTCGACTCCAGTGCTTCGTGTCATTTATCAGTCTCAGTACTCGGTTGTTGCTGTCCAGCTTACTGTATAAATCAAGTCTTTTTTCTTTTTTAACCTACCTATTCTCATCCTCGACATTTCAGAGTACTTGTGTCTTGCACTTCGTCTGCACCTTATACCTAGATGTTACCTTTATTTCCTTCCTATGACAACGGCTTTTCGACACCCACAGCTAATCCGGAGTGTCAGTTGAGCACGGTAACTGTGGTATGATCACACGCACGTGAATACCCAGGCAGCAGACTCAACATCATTGTCGTACACACTTCACCTACTACAACCTCCTCTCTTGGTGTTTAATTTGTGTTACGACAATTTTGTAGCTTATATCCAAAAGCTGAGATGTCACAATAATGGGTTTAAAGGTATTTTAATAAGTTTTACATAGCTAAAATATTTAAATACATATTTTTATTTCACATTAAAATAATATTTACAGTTTACTAACTTTTAAGAATTACAATTGTGATATTAAAAATCAATTAAACAATTATTATCATTAAGTTAAAAATCGAGTATTGTTATGAGAAATTTAAATATTGTAGGCAACTAAAACTAATCCTTTTGAGTAAAAGGCTGGAATTATGTAAATTACTATTTTTGGACTTTTTACTTTGAAATAAATGGAACATTAATAAAAACACTGGGAGTGCAAATTTTTTGATGGAGGGAAATTAAAATTTCTTGATAATGCTGTATGTTTATCTAAAAGGAAAGGAATTTTACTTCAAATCTATTGTCTATTTAAAATTTTAGCATTAGCTTTTAAAATACTTGTATTTGAATCAGTTTTATATTTTTTTATTGAAACTCTGTTTTAAGAACAAAAATATGACGAAACCAAATTATTTTTTATTTAACGTGACTTAAAAATATTATTAGGATATGCAAATAAAATAGATGTCAAAAAGAATTTATGGCATTTAACAGACATACCGTTTGGTATTTCTGTCCAAATAAAAAGATTGACGAATTATTTTAAGCAATTACAAGTACAAATAAACCAAGAGCGGCACAGAATCTACAATAAATTGAAAATGAAATTTAAATAAACTTAAAGCAGTAATAATAATGTAATACAATAAAATATTGGATATAAGGATTACAATTTTTTATAATTGTAGAATATTTTAAATAATTGTTAAAAAAAAATAGGGCATGGCAAAATTTAAATAAAATAATAACTTTTCTTCTGTAATACATTTATTCTTCGTAATACCAATTATAACTCTCGAGGTAATAATTCCTTTAGTAATGAAATACGTATCATATTATATGCAATAAAATATTATTATAATGTATAATTCTATTTTCATATTTAAAGTTACCTATAACGAGGTAATACAATATAATTGTTTTAACACTTATCGATTCGATTCTTCTTATAATAATAATTATTTAAAAAAAATTATTTTGGGTATTTCTTAATTTTATATATTTTTTGATTTATCAATTATAAGTTACTTTTATAATTAATTTCACCTTTTTTTTTTAAGAAAATATAAATACTTATCAGCTTATTTGTTAAATAATGATTTAATTAAGAAAATTACTGTTGAATAACAACTTTTGAACCAGTTATTTGAATGTTATTAATATTTTTATACTTAGATAACTACTTGTAGTTGTTGTTTTTTTGTTTTTGTTATTGCTATTTTTGTTTTTCATTATTAAGAACAAATTTATTCAAAAACTGATATGATTTTTACATTATCCAAGATTACACTAACCTGACACTTAATTTAAGTTGTATTTATACTTTAATTTAACAGTAACAATTGTTTCGACATAAATAGGATGTAATTGGAATTATGATTTATGAAGATAGCAATTTTTTTACGAGATGCTCCACTGAAAAAATGTTCTATTGGTAACTAAGAGATATATAGGGAATGTATTTTTTATATTTTGAATTCAGAGTTTTAAAGTTTTTTTGGTTATTGGATTATTATCTCCAATATTTGAATAAACCAATCATCGGATATAAAGAAAAAGTATTATCGGTTCAGTTATATATGTATCTAATGTTATAAAATTTTACTCAAATTTTAAATGCTTATTCAATTATTTTTTGGTTAAAATCATTTTTATTTGTATCTTTTTTAATTTGACAGTTGATTTTTTTTTACATGCATGGATGATTTTTTTCAAATCCTTCCATTACACAGGTTATTTATTAGATTTACATAATAATAATAATGATTAGTTTTACATCATTTTATTTCCCGAATTTAATATGCTACAGAGGGTCATTGCCCTCTTTTACATAATAAGGAGTCAAAGATGGTTCTTAGCTAGGCCATATTAGACGCTTTTTAGTTTTAGTTATTATTGAGGTGGACATAATGCCCATGCACTCAGACCTGTTGGTCCATTGTGCGCACCTCATACCGAATTGTCTTGATTCGGTTTACCCACCTAAGTGTTATCACCAAAGTGTTAATACATTACTAACCATAAAGTCACCTCTAAAGATGACCAAAGAGTCCTGTCTTTCTGGCGAAATTAAGTATCTCTCTAGGTTTTAGGTTTTTAATATCCTCTTTTTCAGAAAATGGTTTATTCAAGTAGTTTGATCTTAGTGTGGACAAGGCTTCACATTTGCACATGATGTGAAATGAGTCTTCCTCTTCTACTCCACACTTCCTGCACAATGGTGATTCCGATACCCCCAATGCGTTAAAATGCTTAAGCAGGTGACCATATTAGACGCTTACTATACTTATATTTTTCATTGTATTTATATAAATACCTTACCAAAAAACGCTAATTCTATTTTTACTATGTCCAAATTTCATTCAAACTTATTATTTTTATTCGCTTCTTTTATGTTTCTGTTTTAAATACAGAAAATTAGTTTTGATAATGCCGTTTTTAACTGTAGCATAAATTGGACATATTTGACTAAATTTCTAAAATTGAAAGAACTGTTTTTCAATTTTAGGCGACGATAGATTCAGTTGGATTAAAATTGGAATGTTTTGACATATTATACATTTAAATTGGTCTAAACACAACTTAGTAAAACCAATATCTATGCATTTTTGCATAAAATCTGAAAATATTATAACATTTTTTTCAAAATAGATCTAAGTATATCTTAATTATGGTCTACTGTAAATTATAAATATTTATATTTATATTTCCAATATATTTTTGGTTTCAGAAAAAAAAAAATCCTGAAAATATCTGTTATTGTGTTTATGAAAAATTCATTTTTATATTAAACTAAGTATTTTGATTTTTCATGATTTTAGAATAAATAATTATCAAGTAATTAAAAAAATAAGAATTTTCCTATAATATGGGTATTTATTAGCTTCGATGCGAAGCTGAGAAGATATTGGTTTTACTAAGATGTGTTTTTTTTTTTTTTTTT